AAACGCTCCTGTGTCAGCCCCGAGCCGAAGTACCGAACGGGCCCCCCCCCCACCCCGCTTCAGCTGGGGGTCCGATGAGCCGCTGGAATCCCTGTACTATTTATTGTACTCCCTGCGCCGATAAGGAAACCCTTTGCGTCAATAAGCGGCCCTGCGTCGATCCGGCGCCCACTGCCCCGGCCTAGAGGACCTCCCGCGTCACGGAGCGACCAATGCATGCTGTATGCCTCTGAAGGCCTACGGATGGACCAGGAGGCTGTGGTCCCCGGGTTGTCAGAATGGCAACCGGTGGGTACCCCGGTACGGGACGGAGGGCCCATCAGACCTTGACCGGGAAACGTCATGTGTCCCAAAGTGTTCCGCGCACGAAGACCCCCTGCCCATGAGTGGTAGGTGGTCTCCTTAGTGTTCAACATGGCGGTTTTACAAAGCGTCCAAAAATTTGTATCGATATGGTCAATGTGTTTGCATGGGGACGTCCATATTTTTCAGAATCGACCAGGGTTTAAGTTGCATAAAACGGTCTTGAGCAGGCGAATTCGCGATCTTGAAAGCAAAAAAAAAAACAGTAACTGGCGTTGCCGTTTCTGTCGGAGTGTAGGGCGCTGGCCACTGCTGCCAACATCAGGCGGCGGACGGCGGGTGGCAGGCTCGCGAGAACGACCATGTGTTGTGAACTGATTCCGAAAGCCTTTTAAAATGCATTGGCATTATGGAAAGGTCAGAATGGGACGCATATCTCAGCTGAGTAATTTTGAAGCAGGCTCTGCACCGATTTGCAATTACAGCAACACAAATAATAGAGATTACACCACTATGTTATGTTGTATATGCTAATCTGTTCTCATAACACATTTAAAAATTGGACAGGTGGAATGTGACCTAGAATGCCTTCAGCATGTATGGATTGATTTCATGGAGCGTTATAATGCTCTAGTTTCCGATACGTAGTTGTTTTCGTCCGCTCGTTGGCCGCCGCCTCGCGTCAGTCGACGGGCCGACGCCGCGCGACCTGTGAAGACTGCGCCCGTGTTTTTGTTTCCAGCGCTGCAAGCGCAAATGCTCAACACATTTTCCACGAATCGATTCTAAGACTTTGTACATCCCAAGGCAAACACGGGTTGGCGTGTCAATGTTTTTTTCTTTTACCTTATTTCGATTTACGGTTAACCCACGGGCCGCTCAATACCTCTGGAGAACCACGAAAACTGGAGAGGACATCTGAGATACGTGCTCACGCTGGTCCTCGCGGACGCGGCAAGCTGCGACAATCTCTGTCCGATCACCACCCACCACAGTCACGAACGGCATGAGAGGCGCACCTCCTCTGCCCGCCAACCCGCCAACATCTGATCCGTACGGGTCCGTGGGCTTTTGGCTGGGTTATGGGCCAAACTGCTATGGGTTTAGAAAAAGTCCACCGAATCAGTGTAAAACGGTTCGATGGGCTTGAATAAAAATGGATTTAGATTATATGATTTGTTTAATAAGAATATTATTTTCATTACTTATATATATATATATATATATATATATATCTAATTATATAACAAAAAACTGCATTTATTTCATGGCGTCACGTAATGCATGCATCCTTCATTTCATCGACTTCTAAACACGAGCAGAATTATCTGTTCTGGTGGCTTCTGTTTTTGGTTTAAGTTAGAAACGCAAAAGTGAAAAACCAGGCAGACTGGGATTCCACAAAATCAAGCGAGTCCATTTCTTGATTTCTTGGGAGAGGGCAGGACCAAGAAGTAAAATTGTCCTCCCTTTAGATAAAATATCCATTCCTTCCTCTATTCAAACTAATTCGAAAAACTACGGAAAGTAACTCCCCAGGCCTAAACTTACGCCTTTCTCTTAAAAAACTGACATGATTTCGTTCTACCAGGTTTCTATTACCGTGACTACTAGCAAGCTACACGGGCAACTATATCCTAAGTACTTATGTTGAAAATACAAGGGGATTATTCGCCATATGCCGTGAGTCACGGCACACTCGTTCGCGCATGTGTCGACAGGATAGGTCACTATCACTACCACAGGATGAGAAACAGTCGGCGTGATTTAGCCATTTTTCAAAGTGCGTGAATATCACAGCTGTCAAGCAGAGGACATAAAGCAACGGCGAGCTTTCGCTGGTCCTGTGTCTTTTGCTCACCGCACCGTATGCGTGGACATCATTATCGCCCATAGTTACACAACGCCGCTGACATGAAAGTGTCGGAGCAAGGTTTAACGACCGCAAGAAAAGCAGGGCTCAAAACAAAAGACGGCGTGTAAATAAACTGTGGGAGAGGTCCAAGAATATATTACCACACCGGCCTGTCAGGAGCACGTGTTACATAAGAGGCAGCTGGACGTAGATGGTGGTGACATCAGCACGCGCGGCACGTTCCGAGACACGTGCTCCGGCTGGTCCCCGCGCGGGGAACAGGGCAGGCTGCGACGGTCTCTGTCCGATCACCACCGGCCACGGTCACGAATGGCACGGGACGCGTCGCTTCAGCCCGCTAACCCGCCAACATCTGACCTGTAACAACCCGCGGGCTTTTGGCGGGGTTATAGGCCAGACTTGGCGGGCTTTTGCGGGTCAAAAATTCCATCGGGCACAATCATGCACTTTCGCTATCCCACAGCCCTTAAAAAAAAACAAAACCCGAGTGCGCTGTCAAGTACAAAACAAAGATGAGGAATCTATTTTCACTTTTACAGCGACAGCACAGCCAATAGAAAACCCGTAGCAGGTATGACACAGACACACCAACAAACCAGGTCGCACAAAATCAACAACTTAAGGCAAAGATTCCGCTGAAAAAGTTCCAGAAAACATCCCAAGCTGTTAAAGCTTAGTCTGATTTCATTGAGTACTAGTTAGTGAGTCATTGATTACAGACACATCTGCACATTGCACTTGGCTGTTATTGAAAGGGTGAGGTGCACTCAAACTTTCTTGTTCATACAGAAACCATACCTTGCAAATCATAATCAATATCAATGATCAATGACATGAGAGACAATGAGAAATTGTATGTGCTTCTCGGTGTTCTAGTCTCATTCATATGTCAATACAACCCGCACTTACTGGTATTGCATGTACATAGTTGTCAAACTTGGAATAATGGTAGCATATACTTTGTCTACACCTGAAGAACATACAGTTTACGAACACGATAACACCGGCTCTCATATATGATGTTTCACACTTCTTGCGATTGTTATCAAGTTTCGACAAATGTGTCCCATTACGGCCTTTGCTCTGTTTATTTTTCCATCTCTTCCAATATCTGTACCTGTAAATAAGTTCGTGTTCATCGTCACGTGACGCCAATGAAATATTCGATAAACGTCAAAAATTGCAGTCATTAGGCTCAGTGAAATGTGGAAACAGGCCCCGAACCTTATTTTCTAATTTTTCTTGCAAAACAAAATTATGCAGCATTCCAGGATACATCACGTTGATTTATAGCATTGCTAAATGTAACTCATGTCATTTCAGTGACAAATATTCGAGGAAAGATGTTACCGCTATCCTAGCGCTTAGTTTTGTGCGTCCACAGTATCACACAAACGGCAAGCGAATGATTGTGTGATGGAACATGGATAGTGGTAAGGGGGAATGTGGTAGTGGAATGGGTCATTTCAAAGCTTCCATGTGTATTTATTCTGTGATATTGCATGAGGCATTCACCATTCACTCCCAAGGACAGGAAACACCATATATGCGTCTGCGTCTGGTTCTTGACTTCGGGTGATGATGGTATTGCGACTGCGACGATTATGAGGAATTTGATGTCTGTGCTGGTATGAAATGCGATGAACTGCTAAGACTTCCCATGACTTGGAACATTCAGCACTTTTTGCTCTTGTCGGTGGAAGGTCATCAGTAGATGCATGCAATTGTAGAAGATCTGGCATGCGGTCTGCTGAGATCAGGTAGAAGGGTGAAATCCTCGGCACATTTTCGTGATGGCGATTTTAAATGCCACCCTCTTCCTTATCACTTATAATTGGAAGCTGGCATCACAGTGCTTGAGATCTATTTGTCACGAAATGAATTTCACAGTCCAGGCACTTTGATCACTGGTCTTAAACAACAGTACTCTTACTGGCAATGATTACGGATACTGACATGGCATTTTATGCACACCATATGAGTAAATATAAGTGATGGTTAACGCCGGGTCAGAACTGTAGCACAGCGGGCTTTTCGGGCCGGATCCCAAGCTGGCTGGGCCGAGCGGGGCTGGAGGCAGATATTTTGGGAAAAAGTTGTGTGTGTAAGCGGCACCTTTCCTGAAAATGAACAAATGAGCTCAATGTCCGTTGTTGGGTGACAAGGAGTGCATCTTCTCATTAGCAATATCCGAGCGAGCGAGCGTACAGGTGTGCAAGCCTGTATGCGTGTGTGCGTACGTGCTTGCGTGCGTGCGTGCATGCGTGCGTGCGTGCGTGCGTGCGTGCGTGCGTGCGTGCGTGCGTGCGTGCGTGCGTGCGTGCGTGCGTGCGTCCGTGCGTGCATGCATGCGTGCACGCTGGGCCGACCTGGGATGTGCGAGTGTCGTCTGCAACCAATGCGCCTCACCCGGCTGAAGTTACCGTATGGTCCTGCGTACCAACTCACAGCATCCCTTTAGCGAAGTATTTCAGGCGAGCCCACCCTCTCAGCGGGCCTTTCTCCCTGTTTTATTGAGCTCCGTTTACGCGCGATTTTAGCGGAGTAGTCTTCTTGTTCATGGACACGCATGTGACAGAAAAACTTGCCGCTTAATATGGAGTTTGCTCATGCTCATGAATGCCGATGTCTACGTTTAGTTTATATTGAGCAAAGTTGCTTCCAAAAGTTTATAATTTTGATGCATATTTGATCTACGAGAAAGCACAGGAACACATGAATGTGTTTTCTGCGAGGCTTATGCCACAAAAAAGAATAGGACAGCAGCGTGAATCCCCGTTCAGGCGTACACGCAACAAGCGCGAAAGCGGTGTGCACTTACCATGTCTTTGTCGCGCAGTTGGTATAGGTACATGGAGTGTGAGCCGTGCGAGCCCTTGACGAAGTACAGAAAACAGCGCGGGTCGGCCACCGTCTGGCTGAAGTGGCTGAGCGAGAGCACCGGGTGGCTGGCCACCACGCGGCTCGAGGAGGCGGCCACCACCAGCGAGCCGTGGAACAGCTGCAGCGTCACCTGGATACACAACACGGGACGTCACTACATTGTACACATGGAGCCCTGTACAACAGTTGCAGTGTCACTTGAACACCCAACAAAAGACGTCACTACACGGTACACATGAAGCCATGTACAACAGTTGCAGCGTCACCTGGACACCCAACACGGGACGTCACCACACTGTACATACGGAGACCTGTACAACAGCTGCGGCGTCACCTGGACACCCGACACGGGACGTCACCACACTGTACACACGGAGGCCTGTACAACAGTTGCGGCGTCACCTGGACACCCGACACGGGACGTCACCACACTGTACACACGGAGGCCTATACAACAGTTGCGGCGTCACCTGGACACCCGACACGGGACGTCACCACACTGTGCATACGGAGGCCTGTACAACAGTTGCGGCGTCACCTGGACACCCGACACGGGACGTCACCACACTGTACATGCGGAGGCATGTACAACAGTTGCGGCGTCACCTGGACACCCGACACGGGACGTCATCACACTGTACATACGGAGGCCTGTACAACAGCTGCGGCGTCAATCGGGCGCCGAGCACAGGTCACCACGCTGCCCGCGGGGAGCCGTTAGAGACCTGGAAAGTCACCTGGATACGAGCACAGCCTTCACGTCACGCACGGGGATGTGGTACGGTGGCTGCGTCACCTGGAGTCGAGTCATGGCCACCGGTGATTGTAAACCGCCGCAGCGTCGCCAGGAGCTGAACACAAACCGTACCACTACGGAGGGAGAGGCGAAGCATCTGCGCTGCCGCCTCAGGTCGAACCTAGCCCATAGCACTGAGAAAGGAGAGACGTAAAGCATCTCCGCTGCCACCTGGGGTCGAACACAGCCCATAGCACTGTGAAAAGAAAGACGTAAAGCATCTCCGCTGCCACCTGAGGTCGAACACAGCCCATAGCACTGTGAAAGGAGAGACGTAAAGCATCTCCGCTGCCACCTGGGGTCGAACACAGTCCATGGCACTATGAAAGGGTGAACGTGAATGAACACGTAAAGCACCTGCGCAGCCACCTGAGGTCGAACACAGACCATAGCACTGCGAAAGGAGAGACGTAAAGCATCTGCGCTGCCACCTGGGGTCGAACACAGCCCATAACATGGGGAGATCTGAATCGGCCATGGCGCCACCGGCGAATGAGCACGTGTCGGCAGACCCTACCAACTTTATCACCTGGCTTGAGCAATTGCCTAAAAGCGAGCCATGGCATCTGTCAGCTGGGATCAGTGCACGTCGCTCCTAACCAGGGGTTAGACCTTGCACCTCTGAGTTCATCAAATTCACGTGCAACTGCTTCAAACAGCGCGTGCCGAGCCGTGTCGACATGGAGCCGGCTCGCCGTCCCGAGTCCAGACGTCGGCCGCCTCCGTGCATTAATGTGAGGCGCGAGACGGCCATCGCCAGCGTCTGCTGCGCGGTGGGGTGGTCCGCGCCAGGCTGGACGCCAGGCCACCTGAACGCTGGCAACATATCGGATGTGCTGTGTGCTCAGCCACAGGCCTTCGAACGCTTGATGAGAAACATACCAGATCGGAATGTTTGTGCTCGCATTTCGCGGCCTCGGGCAAGGGCGTCCCGGCAGCTGTGGTCGGTAGGGTCCCGACTCAGAAATTTTGGTGTACGATTGGACGGTGTTTGTGTTTTTACCTTTAAAATGTGGCCGGAACACAAATGGAGCCTAGTTATATTAAAGGTGTGGTGGCTACGTTCCTGGTTCCAGGAATGTGGCTTCCTACGTTCAGGTCAACACGAGAACTAGTTCTGAAACACGCCATTTCCTAAAACCGGAAGGCAAAATTATTGGGTGGTTGTAATTCAAGTCCATACCGAGCGTGGCATTTTCAGCGATGGCGGCTTGCAACGACGACGCCGCGCCGCTACAAAAAGCAGTCCAGCAAGCCAGCAAGAGGATAATTCACCGCGGCGTGAATTTAAGTCTGACGTCACCACACGCGCTGAGCAACTGTCAAAATACTACGCAATCGGAACTTATTCTTTCAAAATAAAGTTTTCGTTTTTTTATCTCAATGACTGAAGAAAAAAGACGACACGTAACCAGAGAAATGTACCCATATTGTGTCCACTGCTGAATACACACCGCGGCGATACCCCCCATTCAAGACGTCATCGACCGTGTCAACTAACGTGTCGTACACGCACCACAGGTGTGTTTGTCTTGCTCCACCTCCCGCTCCTCCCCTACGCCACTCCTCGCGTTTAAACTCGGGCAAGTAGCTACATCAAACGCTGTAGTCCCCGCAGAGCAGATGCCTAACACAGATAACGTCATATCGTCGCTACGCAGCACTGCAAACCAAAGTTGGCTGCGGCTAGCCGGCTTTCGGGTGGGCAGCTAGTCGACCCAGCACCTGCGGCTAGCCGGCTAGCCGGCTAGCCAATTTTATGACCAGCCTCTCACCAAAAAAAGAAAGCGTTTTGTGTTCTTTGACGGCAGGCAGGTATCACTAACGTGGCCGACCTTTGTGCAGCGGACTTTATCTATAAAGATGCACTCGTGAAATAATGCGTCCCCAAACACGTGACGAAATGTATCCGGGCGTTTTCAGCCCTGTGACGGAATGTTTGTGCTCGCCTTTCACGGCCTCGGACAAGGGTGCCCCGTCAGCTGTGGTCTGTGGGGTTCCGACTCAGAAATTTTGAGCCCCATGACTCATATTGACCCACGTCTCCAGCAGCATGCTGGGTGAACTTTGGGCGCATCCCCCTCCCCAAAAAAACGTTCCGAGGCACTGCCCCATAAGTTATGCTTACCTCCTGCTTCAAACATCCTTGTTGATCGCTTTCCCATATTCATGTATGTATTTGTCCTTCCGCTGCCAATGCTAAACGTATCAAAAGTTTACAAACTTGGCGAAAGAAAGCTGAACGGCAAAGATGCATGATTTTTGTGAGCAATTAGGCTAATATTCAGGTCCAAGACTTCCGGACGCTACGCGAAATAATGGGGTTGGCGCGCTAATGTGCGGCACCTGCCTTCCAGGGGACGGCGTTATGCCCCGCAGCGGCGAAAGCGTCGCCTTTTTCAAGACAGTGTTTTCCGGGAAAATAGGAGCACTGTCCGGCCCTACCGCACGATGTTACGCCATTGATACAGACAACTGCTGCCCGCATCTCTCTCAGCTCTCCGTGAAGCCCACCGTTAACCAACCGCGCGCTCGCCGTGTTCGCGGCCGGCGTGCGCTGCTCCGCAGCATCGATCGCTACATTTCAATTAGCTCTGGGCGCTTCAGTCACGGCCGTGTCTTGATGGTGCCAGGCACGTGACAGCAGGAGGCCCGGGTGGCGGCTGCCTGTCTTGGCGGGCTGCGCCGCCCGGACGGGGCTGGTGTCTAACGTCCGGGGTGACGGGATGAGGCTCGCCCCAGCGCACCACCCCTACCGGTCGGCTCAGCCGACGCCACTTTCATGGCCGATTTATCAGGCTCGAATGGTTTGAAGGGGCGGAGCTGCTGGCCGGCTGGCAGGCTGCCAGCCCCACAGCCGGGCGCAGTGTTGTCCGTGCATGTGTGCTTCTGACAGCCAGCGGCCGCCACCGGACCGTCTGACCGCCGGTACCGCCAGCGCCACCGCGGCGGCCCGCAGGCCTTCTGACAGCGTGCGAGCACAGCGTGTGCGCTTCCGCAGGCGCGTCATCCCGACCCTACACGGCCTTCGGCCCGCCAAAGCGCAGTTAAGTTCAGCAGTAGCCTCCACTGTGCGGCACTGGTGGAAGTCCACCCGGACGTTGTGCGCCTGTATGACCGCCCGCACTCGTCCATCGCGGTTACCCTTCAGACATGATCTAGGGTGATCGTCACATGCACCACGCAACGCCCTCGTCGCGTGGGCGTCGGCAGCTTAAAGGAGGAGGTGTTCCACATTTATATCGGGTTTTGAACAAGAATAGTCATCTTGAAGACCTGTCGGAGCTGTTTACAATCTTGCACCTCTTAAGACCTAATCCCCTCTAGTTTCTGAGCTACAGACGCGCGAAAGCGGGCAAAGGTATATCAAGCAGAGCACTTCAAAATCACCTTGACATTCATGACGTCATAATAACGTTATTTAAATCCTATCATTCCATAAATCATGCGGAGATCAAGGCTGAGATAACATATAAGTGTCGGGGCGTTCATATCTGGCGTTCTTGAGAGCGATTACCAAAGCGCTGTTTAGAGCAGGCTTTTTCAATTAAAAAGTATGCCAATACTTATAAGTGAGCTAGCTTCATCATACATCATGCTTGCTTTACCATCTTCAAATGTGAAACACTCCCCTTAAATCCAACATACCTCTTCACGCATAACGCACTGTCCGGACACCGACTGCCGTCTTTATTTCCATGGCTGCTGGGCGCACCGGATGGCCGACATGCCGCATGTCCTCCTGTCCCCTCACGCACGTCTCCACATACCTGTTCGGACCTGGCCTGCTTGACAACCTCCTTGACGACCCACGGGATGAGGTGTTTGCTGTAGCCGCTGCTCACCACCGTGTGGCCCATATATAAGGCCGAGTATTTTTGGCTCTCCATGACGGACGCGTCTGTGGCGGAGCCCGGGTCGGACGTCTCCAGTCACCTGGAACAGGCACACGGTGTTCACACCAATGGCTTGCTATGCGCCCCTGCGGCCATCGCTTTCTTATTTGCCGTCCTGAATATGCATGGGGCAAAGTGCTCAACATTTGTTTTCATAAATTTGATCCGAACCCTTTGAATGGATGTATTTCTGGGATCAGTGCTGACGCTAGGCAGTGCTTGTGTGAGCCCTGATCCCCACCATCCAGTCGCGCAATTCCAGGCAACGGCAGAATTTAGTGGCTAAAACTTAACGTGCCGCAATGCTCGGCACGGTCCGTCTTGCCCTCTGACGTCAACTGACCTTTAGCGCGATCGCTGCCACAGACCGCAGGCCATACCTGTCAAGGACAAATAGCGGCGCCCTAAAGCGACTCGAACCCACCCTGCCTCGGGTTGGTGGATCGGAAGACAACCGCTGTAACCAACTGAGCCACCGAGACGGACATTGGGGTGTTCCAGCGTGATACACCGTCTAAACTTCAGCAACCCACTTCCTCTGGTTCCAAAGATGCTATCTAACCACCTTTCCCCCAATCCTTTCCCCATTTTTGCTCGGTTTGGAGCACAGGGCGGGAAGAAAAATTTTGAACATTGATCGATTTCAGGTCTGTGAGCGCGAGGCGCCAAATCGATCGAATCGATACTTAAGCGGAAGAATCCATTTTTTCATAATGTTCTCGGATGACTATCGGGTATGTTTTAAGGTCTGACTCATCGGGAGCGTGTGACGCGCCATGTGCTCAGACAGGTGTCTCTGACTTCGGTACGGTCACGGTCAATCACAGACGCAACAACATCTTGCCTCAGTCAGCGTGAAATCGACTCATTTGCACGTCTGAATGATTAGCGATACTGATAACGAGCGATACTGATCCGAAATATGAACTGAACGCAACAGCAATCCACCACAAACAGTCCAACACCAAGAAAATCAGCACGAGCCACGTGCCACACATCAGTACGTAACAAATAGTCAAACCATCCTATTCAAAATGTGAAGTAAACATCTCAAACTTCATCATTAAATATGAATGAACAAGCTTAAACAGATGCCTTTGATGCAGCTGAAAAAGCAAGCAGCAATACTGGCATGGCCATCTAAAAGTTATGTTACTTTAGAGGGGAGAGATTGTTTTGTGGAGCATACGCATTATTGCCCTTGACATAGGTTAACCATGGCAATCAAAATAAGTTCCTCAAAGTGATTTTAAGTGTTTTGATTTGTGTGCTTGAAACTTTGTCCGATGTCAACAAGCATAAACAAATTAACTCAATAAAAATGTCAGCCAAAAATCAGCCTTATGATGTTTTTATGACAAGTGCTGCTCTCAACAGATAGGTGACTTGAGATGATGTTCAACATGTGGGCTACTCTAAGTTGGGTCGAGTTGGTTAAGTGCATAGCAAGTGGAAAGGAATCGTGCAAGAATCAGTAACTCACAACTGTTGCTGTGATACAAACAGGTTAGACGGGATGAGATGAACTAAGGCCTCTTTAGGTTAGGCATAGTTGGCTACTTCCATGGAAATAAGCATTGGTATTTTGTAAGAAACAGTGACAAAATGTTTGTTTTCCCTGACCCCACCTTAACAGACGCCAGAGATATGTCTGCTGTGTTTGACTTGATGATGGGCTGATGTGTAGGAGTCTAAGGCTTTTTTGTATTAGTGTTTTATGCTTGTTGAAATTTCCGTTGTTATTTTGTTATTGAATTCCTTTGCTTTGTGTTGTGTTAAAGGTGCAGTGGAAGGGAAGTGCAAAGTGCAGCATCAAATTATTGGTGTTAATATTTTTATGTCATGAAATATTTATTTTTATTATTACACTGTCATGTCATTTATTATTACACTGTTTATTACACTGTCATGAAATTGCTATGCTTTAAGGTATTCTGTTTCACTTTAATGTCCTAAGATGTTAAAAAACAAAATAGTTTTGTCAGGTTCCTGATATTACGTCCATGCCAACTTGAAACAGATGTCTTTGCTGAAGCATCAGTCACGAGCTCATAAGCTCCATCTTTTTTGATTGATTTTTTCACTCCCGCACGGTCTTTTTGCGATGGAATTTGTCACTCATACCCTAGTTCAAAAGCGATTCTAGCTCCCTGTGCATTATGAACTGAACCAGGGGCGTATGCAGGATTCGATGAGGGGAAGGACACAACTCGAGTCCGCTTTCAATAAGACCCAGTTTAAGCGCGGTGCGCTGCGCCAAATTTGTTGCATGGTGGAAAGCAGCATTTCCTGTTTTCGATCCATTTACTTGTACGTGTCTGACCCAAATTTTAGCGTCAACATTCATTCGCGCGCATGTTAAAAGCTTGTCATAAATTTTATAAGGAAGTGCGCGGGGGCCACAATGTGAACATGCCTCTGAAATAAACATCGCCGATACGTTCCATAAATGCGCCACCTATATATGACCTGGAATGACAGCCGATCAGTCCTGTCTTGTTCTGGTCGGAGCCAGAATCAGAAACCACTGTCACTCCATGCCCAAAGCTGGAATCGCAAATGACTCCAATAGAACACCACCAAACACAAGACTGGCTCAAAAAGTTGTTCTGCTGAGCGGGCTGGTGAAGCAAGGAAGTGGGGAGAAGTCGACTGTTGCTATGTTCTACTTCTTTTCATGGCTACGACCGCCGACACCCAGGTGGGGGCTAAAGCCAATAGAACTCTTCAAACCTTGAAGACATTACTAATGAACATTTGGCACCACCCGCATTTGAATGTTCAAGGGTTTCACCTGACACATCTGGCACATTCCATCGCATGACTGTTGCTCTGTCCTGCTCGAGGCCTAGCAAGCGGAACACATCCACAGCATATCGTGCTTTACCCAGCCTCGTTCCAAATTCGCGTCCCTGAACAGGAGCGGTTATTCGGACAACAAAACACCACGCCCCTGAGCGATTGGACACTGGAGGCGTCAACCAATCGCTGCCAAGCTGGGGCAATTGTGCCGACTCTGATTGGCTGCTGACCCAGCAGGCGCGTTCTTCGCGGAAGCGGCGCAAAACACGCGGCAAACTCAGGTAATTGAAAGCACAACTGCTGAGCTCGGCTCGCAGAACAGAAGGTATAACCGTCCAGCCAAATTCCGCTACTTCGACTGATGACATCACCAGTGCACTCGGCACGTAATGGTCAACGGCGGATGCATGCCTATCGCAGTTTGTTTGGCTGTTTAAAACGGTTCTACGGCTGGAAGCCGTTAAATATCTTTGGTTGGATCATAACGAGGCTATTCCTTCTCCGAACAGGCTATAACATCGCCTCCAAGGCCCGTCAATCATTAATTGGCTGGCGTCCCAGCCGAGCGCCTCGGGCTGGAAAACCGGGAGACAGAACTCTCACAAAGCTTTTTCGGGAATTAATTACCTATATATGCAAACCAAAAGAGTAAACGGGCGCATATTGAAGAAACAAGCATTAAAAAACATTCTGGCATGACAGCATGACAGGCCAAGGTCAGAGCAAAGGTCTGCAGATTCCCATTACATGTTTGCAGTGGCTGGGTCAATTCAGGCGTTTCATTTCTTCAACAAGTATATGCTCTTTGGCTAAGTGAGGATGCTGTGTTGGATTACGGACATGTTGCCACAATGGGAGCAGGTCAAGGTCACTCCATAGGTTGGCGTGATAATTAGGTGCGTTCATGCGACACATGATTCAAATATTTTCGCATACATTTTGCTCGCAATATGCAGCTTAAACGTCGGCTAAAATTGTTCGTTGGCAGCACATACTCAAGATGTAGGTAGGACGCCAAGATGAGGTCATACAAGGTCAACATGACACGCAGTAGGCTGGTCAGGTCATACATGTTTCCGGATTGTTTATCCCCCAGGAATCCAATAAAATCACTTTTAATCTTGCACCGGGTCATCTTAGTGCCTGAAGAGATCAAAATATGTTGTTTGTCACAACCTATTTTGACCCTTGCAAGGCATCCAATAGCCATTGGCAGGCTAGGGAGGTTGACTTTCAACCTGCTGTGTAAATAACTACCGCTCTGATCATGTCTTGTTTGAAACGCATTTTTCATAATTTTCAAAGAGGTAAAAGCCTCAACTTGCTGGCAATGGAGGAAAGCAAACTTTTTCAAACAAACAACTAGACAGTGCCCAGTGCACAGATCACCTTCACTTATGCATGAATAATACATTTTAGCATGGTTTCCTCAATACCAAGAGCAGCCGCACAATGTCCCTATTCTAAACATAACAACAATGGGGAATAAGTAAAAGACTTGGTCACAGCATCCCATTTTCATACAGCATGCGTAGTTCTCACTATTGGTGGTTTGTGGCACAGATACTTGTTCAAGATACATGCACAGCCACACAGTCTTCTGACAGTTCTTCTCACGGTAAGGATTACAGATGCCCCTCTTTCCATGCCTCCCTCTTGGGCACTTGTCTCTGACAATTTCATTGCATGCCCCTGACAGATCTAAGGAAAAAAAGTTGAGTGCTAAAGTTATCATCAGCTTTCAAGGAAAGAACTAGCCTTTCCGATGCCTCTGAAATAATTGGACTCATACAACAAGTTGTTAAGCCTGGACTTCAAAGCATGTAACGGAACAGCTGCAAAAATTCCATTTGATCACTTTCATGGAAATTATTTCGTCTTCACTACATAATGCAGCTTATGAGCACCTGCATACCTAAAGAAGGTGTGATGATGAAAAATTGATGTGACATGCATTCAGCCCTCAACAACCATGGCGTGTAATCTGATAGGATCGCAACTCAACCCTATTCATATATATCCGCAGCATTATAAGGTTTGCTAGCTGTCCTTTATGTCAGGCTAACATGTCATGCCTCCAAATGCTTTCCACAAAAGATCTAAAACAGGGGCTAGTTATCTGAGCAGTGTTAGGATTAATTGAAGAGATGTATCAGCTTTACAATATAATAACAATAATATGGCGTATTTTGTACCACCAGGTTCATGCACGTCTTTGCAAATGCAGCCATAAAAACA